CTCACTTCTTCGGATGCATCCGAAGAAGTGAGGTTTTTACTCACGAACGCTTATGCCCAAATAAATCTGTTAGTCTTTAAGGTGCCACCAGACTCCTTGTTGTTTTTGATCTAGTCATTGTACAACAAAATTATTTAAGTCATGAAGAAGAAAGCATTTTTACAGAGCGTTGATGAGATTTTCAGTAAGTCAAAATGGAGGCCTGATGATTATTCTAACCTTCCTCTCCTCTACCTCAGTAACATCAGGTCCTTTTGCTGATCACAGATTGAACAGAACTATTTTCAGAGTTTAACAATATCCTCAGTGGCCTACTGAGTATGGTGGATCCATGTAACAGAAGGTAAAACAGGCATATCTGCAAAAATTACAAGCCACATTTTTCAAGAGATATTGCTTAAAAACAGAAATGTTTATTATTTAAAAGTGCTCCAAAGACAGTGATTCATCAATCATCAAGCAATAAACAAAAACAAAACTGTCCTTTTGCATTCTAAGTATTAGTGCAGGCCACTCAACTGAAATGTCTGAAGTATAATAGTGGTCACAAATAGTGTCTATTATAGTAAAGGTTGCAAGACAGTTTTGACCATAACTCTGTTTTCACTTGCTCATAACCTTCTCATGAAATTCAGATTTGGACTGCATTTTCCATGCTTAGTCTCTTCCCACAGATGATAGTGGCTGTTTGAAGTCATTTTTGACTTATGGGAAAGTAAAATCAAACCAAAACACAACACACTTTTGCATTGTAAAAGAAAAGTTAACCATTCAGCTAAAACAGTTGAATGTGAAGTTGGCACGTAAAAAGTCCTTACTGAAGAGGCTTGTGCTTTGAGTAAGGTTTAAAAACATGGTTTTAATATAAGTATTTATAAACATTTTAAAATAGCATACTGATCTTGCTTTCATACAGGATTCTAGTCTATAAAGGTTCTTGGATTCCTATACCATGCTCAATGCTATAGTATCTGAGCCTTCCAGTACAGCAACTAACATTTGCCACATGCTTGTTATCTCATTTTCTTGCCAGTAGAAGGAAACGCATGCAGTGGAGTGTTTTTTTTTCTTTTTTACTTTTTCAAAATATATTATAATGTACACACACAACACAAACATTTACAGATTTCTATGTTTGTTAGAGAAATCAAGGTCACAGAAGAGTGTCTTGCACTTAGAGTAGAAGGCAGTGAGGTTTGTGATGGTCATAAGTTCCTGTGGTCAACTTGATGCTAACGGTATGGTCGTACGGGTAAAGAATAGGTAGAGTTGTGTGTCATCTGCATATTGCTGGCATGTTGGTCCATGTCAGTTCCCTTAGTGGATGCAGGCAGATGTTGAACAGGACTGGAGAGAGAATCAATCCCTGTGAGACTCCGTAAGTGAGGGGCCCAGTTGCAAAGGTGTAATTTCCCATCACTGCTCATTGGGTGCATCCCTCCAACAAGCACTCAAACTACTTTAGCCCAGGACCAGTCTCCTCTCTCAGGTGAGAAAATTCACAACAATGTAAATATAGAATGCCAGTGACGTTTACATATCTTGCTTTAGGCACACACATTTCAAAATATCAGTATTTAGAATAGGATTGCTTATAAGTGTAAACAGCAATAAAAGCATTCTCACTAAGGCGGCTTTGGAAAGTTGCAGGATGAAAAAAACCATCATTTCCAAAATGATATTATTTTAATAGGTACTCATTCCATAATAATTCATTTTAATGTCAAATGAAAATGATAACCTTCAATATTTATATTCTTGAACACAGCAGTTCCACCTGAGGTGTTTA